TCTCCACTCAACCTCTTTCAAAGCACTAACTCCCTTCATACCAAAGCAAACTTCAAGTTATACCTGTTCAGCATTTAAACTTTAAAAAGTGCAACGTGAACACCTGTTTTACTTGATAGCCATCTGTTTTCTCAAGAAATCAAAACCTTAATAACATGGAATTAACAGATGGAGAGTGAGGCCTAGACTGAGCAGGTTACTGTGTGTGTCAAGATAACATAAAAAGAGATATTTTTAATGAATCATTCACATCCTCCATTATTCTCATCTATCTGGGCTGATAACCCATCACCATTTATTTTCTCCTTAAGGGACTTGCCATTCAAAGGCAATTGAAGATCTTTTAGGATTTGGCCCACACTAAATGGATAATTAACTATTGAGAATGCTGCCTGAAATGGGCAATTTCAGCAAAATCCCTGTGGCCAAATTCTAAAACTAATTGCATAAAGATTTTAGCAGGATCACAAAATTGGGTGTGGATTGTCTGTGTGTGTGTGCATGTCAAAAAAAAAGTTAAATAGCCTAATAATATCAGTACACTGCAACTATATTTCCAAAACAAATGTCTTCAAACCTGACAGCATTGTAAGAAAATCTGTAAGCAGACATTTTTACTGTAATAAAATCACTTTTTTTTTTTTTTTTTTCCCCCCTGTGTATCTGTCACTGTTTCTATAACACAAAGCCCTTCACTGTAGAAGAGTTTTGATTAGCTGGACTGGAGCAGTGTGTGCTGTGCACACAGTGAGGCCAGGAGTGAAGTGGCAGAAGTAGCCCATAAACAGTATGGGACAGTGACAAGAGGCATGTGGCCAGTCCCACCACAGCCACCAGCATCTCTTCCTCAGTGCAGCAGCTGAGGGACTGGGACCACGTCCTCACATCTGTGCAGCTGTAGTCCAAATAACCTGTTCAACTTCTCCTCTTCCCACAGAATAAATTAAAGTGCCTTCAGAAAAGTTCCATTTAGAAAGAATTTTGGGGGAAGTATTGATTTGCCTTTTCTGAATGCTGAGGTAAATGCTAGCTAAAATGGAGCAGCTGGCAGAATAGGTAGAAATCAAGGCAAACTTGAGTACTATGCTAAAATTGTGTTCACTGCAGTCTTTAGAACGGTGAAACAGACTCTACAGTGAAAACTGAAGTTTTAGATAGATTTTAAATTCTATAATGAGAATGAAAATGCAACTCTATATAAGCTAGGCCAACTTAAAAAAACTTTGCATAGAGTATTTCATTTCCAAAATAGTATAAATTTAAAACTGGTTCTACTCCGGGACTCAATTAGCATTTGGGTACTTGACTGTCTACTATGGTACTCTAGGTTCCTGTATCCAGTTAAGTTCTGCAAGAGACATCAAAAGAACAGTTATCAGCTCAGAAAACTAGGACATAAAAAAGAATAGGAACATAATGCATGTAAACACCACTTTCAGAAACGCTTTAACCAAATTGATTTTTTTCCAGTTTAAAAAGCGTCTAGCAAAATGACCTTCCTTACCCCAACAGTTTTTTCACTTCCAAAAAAACCTTAGGTAATTAGAGCATTCTAAAATAATTTGTTGTTTTTCAGTGGCATATGCATTTCTAAATTATCCATTTGTTTTTTGTTCATTTACATGCCTGCTGAATTTCACTGCTTCCTAATCTGTTGGGCTTGTGGTCTGCACTTAGCCATTAACACCATTTAACAGTTGTTAAATAGTATTATGGCCTGTTGTTATCCTGATGTGGATTCAATTCCAGCGTTAACTGCTCTCCATGTGCTGCTCATAAAACCAACAAGGCAGATTTGGGGTGACTGTTCAGAGCAGGAGATGGATCCAAGCCAGCAGTGAAACTGCCCATCTGCTTTTCAGTGCTGTGTTAGGAGGTGTCCACACAATCTATTCCTACAGCATTTCAAGAACTGAACGATTTGAACCCAAAATATACCTCATTTTATCTTTCTTATTTATTTTTTTATTATTTGAAATCAAAGTTCATGCACTTGCTGTTGGGTTAGAACAGTGGTGTAGTCTCCAAGTGGGTCAGCTCCCACTGCTAGAGTCCAACACCTCCTTTACCATGATGAGAAGTAGCTGCAACAGTGCAATAGCAAAATCACAGCTGAACATTTAATCCTGTTCTGAGTTTTGACCAGAATGTGGGAATTAATGGTCCTTCTTTAAAGTTCAGCTTCTGTTCCCTCCCCCGCCATTTATTTTATTTTTTTTTTTAAACAAACTTTCCCCTCATCCTTGACACTCTTTAGGGGAAATTACTGCTGCCAACACACTTCCCACTGCTGCCATCAGGCAGTTTTGATGCAGTAGGATAGAAAAGATATGGTATGTGCCTCTAAGATCAAAAGAAGTGCTGACTGTCTCTTGAGACACAGATCTTCCAACCCAGTTCCCTCGCCCTGGCCCCCTCCACTGCACACAGTGATGTTCCCTCCTGAAGTCAATACTGGCTACTAAAGTTAATGTGCTTCTGTAGAGCTGCACTCTCAAATGGCCAGGCTAAAATTGGGGATTGAAAGTGAATGATCACAACCAGTTTTTAAGGAACATTCTCTTTTAAAGTTTCAAAGATTAATAACTTTAGGCTTGCATATTTGGCTATTACAGTAATGCAATATTTAGAAGTTTAGGCATTTAGTGCTCACACCTGTGCAATTCTTGTTGATTTTCTGGGCCTTACATAAAAATCTTATGGAATTATATCAGAATTATGAAAAACACATCCCTTGATGAAATACAGAATTTGGGAAATTTTCCTTCTTTAAACAAAAAAACCCCATAGGGATGTTGATTATACACAGAAAACCCCTATACCAAGAAATAAGTACCAAAAAGTAAGTACCAAAGTACTTTTCAAAATTAACTTTCATTTTAAAATAGAAAATCCACCACTTCCTCCTAGCATACCTTTGCCAACTTAAGAACATATGCACATCCAAAAATGAAAAATAGAGAAAGAAACTTATTCCCTTGGAAGGAATATTGCAATAATTCCTAAATTACTACTTTTAAAAAAGGAAAAAGATTTCTACTGTGCCCACAAATACATTCCTGACCATCTTTTTATTTTTTACAATATATAGATGATTCAAGCTTTAAAGATGAGGACTTGAACTCAGCACAAAAAAAAACTGAAAGAATTTTGATTTATGACAGTTGCCTGCAAGAATAAGATATTCCTGAAACATATTGGATAACCTCAATGAAAACTTCTCCTATTGGCTATTTATGAATTATTCCCAGGTCTGTATTTCTCCATAATTTTAAGCAAATAAGTTTCTGGATAAGGACAATAAAGATCAGACCACATAGAGAAATTCAACATGATAAGAAGTTTCATTTGTTTGAAGTTTTATTTCCTTGAGGAAGAATAAAAATAGATTTGAGGAGCCTCACTAGGAGTGATCATCTGAAGCAATAATGAGAAGGCATTCTGTCAGAAGCAGAGAACTCTTCTGCCAGACTTGCAGGAGAGCACTCTGCTCTGCTGGAATTCGAAGAATTGATGCAAAAGCAGGAATTGTGCAACTGCTGTAACACAAAACATTTGTCACATACACTGAGTGGCATTAATACACCTAAAGCCTACCACTATCGTCTGCATCCTTTTATTGCTAGAAACAATGTAGAAAATTATCCATTATCATCCAGTATCTCCTGTCCTTGCAAAGCAAGAGCACAACCCTTAAAAGCATCAGTTCAGCTCTATGTCCAGTGCTATAATTGTAGCAACCTGCTAAAAAAAGACATAGCAGGGGACAGTAAGAAAGTGAATGGTCTGGAATTTCTCATCTATTTTTTTCAGGGCAAACCCAAGTTTTCAGTTAAACTAAAAATCTGTTTGAAACATTTGGACATCTGTATTTCAGATGACACACATAAATTGGCTTAAAATACAACCCTGTAAAGAGAAAATTATTTTGACAAATGTTTTGAAGACAATAATCCAACTTTTTGAGTACCCTTCTGTATCGAGAATGATACTCCAACATTTGTAAATAAGCACATCAATATATTTACTACGCTGTTCTTATACTCAACTTCTCAAAAACAAAACAAAACCTATTTTGCATTCCAAGGGGGGGCTATAATGATTCTGCATTAGAATCTATTCAAGTCTTTTGCAGCATATACACGTGTATGATTTAGAAATAGAAGGAATGCTGGACTGCTGCCATCTACAATTTTCATTAACATCTATGTGCTATTAAAATTATGATCATCTGGAAATATCTTCTAAATAGCTACATTTACTAGACCAATAAAAAGGAGTTATAATCATAAATAAATGTCTAGCCCCATATTAAACACAAATCACTCAAAGTATCGACATATTGATTTTAAATAATTTACAGTTCCACATAATTGCAAACCTAGATTCCAAGTTGCCAATAATAGCAAAGTAATGCATTTTAAAATCCTTGTATAACCAAACTGCCCATGGTTTTAGCTTCAATTCCAGCTATTAAAGTAACCAAAAAAATCCACACATCTCTTTTACTGCTTCATATTGCAGAAAGAAAAGAGACTTCATTACTTTTCAGACTGGCATGTCAATATTTATTTAAAGAACTTTACAGCTGTCAAGAGAGTCCTTGAAGAGATGCCCAGAACTCAGAATCTGGGAATCTTATTGCACGGTGAATCTCTTGTTAGTCATATCCTGGGCTCCTGCAGAAATTCTGGTTTCATTAGGAGAGCCCAGCAATGAGATGGGAGGCTGCAATGAGACAATGGTCTCTTAACTCACAGAAAAACTGAAAGGAAGCAGGAGCAGTATTTGAAAGAGAAAAATTTTTCTAATTATCCTGCAGCAGTCTTTCCCACTAATGATTTGCATCTTTTATCTAAAAGAAAATACAAAAAAATCCACCTAACAATATGATAATAGCATCTCCAAGTTTTATAGATCACTAAAACTAGGGAATGCAGAGGAAACAGTTTATTTTTTATTTTCTTTTTTTTGTGAAATGGATTTAATAACAGCATCAGTGTACTTGGCCTTCTCTAATCCAGGCTGAACAGTCCCAGCTCTCTCAGTCTCTCCTTGTAAAACAGATGTTTCTGTTCTTTGTGGCCCTTCCCTGGGCTCGCTCCAGTATCTCCATGTCTCTTGTACTGGGAGCCCAGCAGTTGACCCCAGCACTCCAGTGCACCTCAGCAGGCCTGAGAAGAATAAAAACACCTCCTTCCTTACCCTGCTGTCAGCATTCTTAAGCAGGGTTACACCCAGATCCCCCTTCTCATTCCTCAAACTTCCCTCCTTACTGCAGAGACCCTCATATTTTCCATCTTGTATCACGTATTTTGTAACAGCCTCTACCTCTCTTGGAGTTAAGTCTACACCAAGAAGTTATTTTCCTCTTCCAATGTCATTCTTTGGTGGACTTCCAATACATGTGTGCATTTACTATTTCTATTTGAATAAAATGACACTTCATGTATTAACTTTGTAAAATGAAAGATTCTTTCTAAAAAGACTGATTCCTAGTCAAGCAGCTATTTCTCACACAGTTTCCTGTTCCTAACACAGCAGCATTTAAGCAGGTTGTTAGGAAAAAAAGTAAGTCTCCCTCTCACTCAAGGTCTATAGGTATCTAATCAAAATTATTCCCAACAAAGTTAATGTATTGTAAAACAGACAGTTTAAAACATACATTTTAACTTATTTCACATCCATTATGAATCAATAGTATATGAAAACTAGTTTTAGTGTATTCATACTAAAATATTCCTCTGTTATATAATGTATGCCTTCAAAATGTTGCAGACACAAAAATCATAAACGCCCATATCAGCCACCAAGCAAACAACAAATCATAAATAATAACTAGTAAGAATACAGTATGGAAAATTCTGTTCAGACTGTACATAAGGAAATTTACATACTTTAAGGACAGACTTATTTCACTCTTCACAGGAAAACAAAGGCATTGACTTCAAAATCCTTGGCCAAAATAATCTGTTCCTCTAGGAATGTCATTCCCTTTCAGGACTCTGTGTAAGCAGCAGTGTCAGTCTTTTTTTGGTGCAGGGCCTGTGCTAAATTCAGACAATACCAATAGAAAAGTAAAGTAAAGGGAAAAGCATGAACATTTTTAAAAAGCTCAGGATTTCTCTTTCCTTTCTTCCTCCTACTTACCCACCACGTTAACAACTTCTATTCTCCTTTAATCAAAATCCCAAACTGTTGCTCTTCTGCTTAAAGGTTCTAGTGTGAGGAGAATGACCAGCACTGTCAAATAAGCTTTGTATTGCACAGATGTGGTTTCCATTTTATAACCTTGCTCACAAGACTGTTGATTGTTCAATTATTACTTGAATACTCTTCCTAGTTGTATCATGTGAACTTATTGCAGGCTTATTTTACTATATTGTTGCTGGACTGTATCCTAGATACTCTAGCTTCATTTTTTTATTCCTTTCCAACTATATTTTTTAGATTAGACTGCAGAAATGCCCTGTGATGTACAAACTCTCAGATCCCAGCCCCCAAATGCCACACACCTCTCTTTTAAAGGTTTTCCATCAAGCTGAGAGTGAAAGGCAGGCACAGACAACATGAGGCAGAGCCACTGTCAGACACTGACAGTGCAGAGAAGCACGACAGATAGATAACAGATCGGAGGGTACTAAGTACCCTACAATTTATTGAAGCAAAGAGGGGAGAGTTGAGTGGCAAATTGCCTATGCTGTTCACAAACCAGCAGGTGACCCTGTTTGCCAGCCATCCAAATTGCTTCTGGGCAATTTGGCACATTTCTACTATGTTGTGCTATTTCTTATGGCATGACTTTGAGTTTTGATCATTCCCTGTTGTGCAAGATCTTTCCAAACACTCGTAAAACTTCTAAGAGTGATGGCAGTAACAATGGAACACATGGAAATCATTAGCCCATCAAAAAAGCATTTAAAGTGATTTGAACTCAGACGGAAAAATAACTGTTTTCAAAAGGAATCAGAATTGCATTAAATACCAAAATAAAACAAAATAAACTAAAAGCTCAACAAAACTCTCAGCCACAGCTGAGAGGAGATTCCTGTCTTAAAGAACAAAGCATAGGAAATTTGTGAGGAAAGTGGTATGAGAAACAAAACCTTCTTTTGCATACTGAAAAAGATAAATGTGAAGGAAAACACCAATGATCCAATGAAGATAAAAATACAGTTTCATTTTAGGATGTTGTTTCTTTTCTTCTTGACGCATGGAAGTTCACTCTTTTAAATAGTGGCAAGAATTCCAAGGAATCCAGAAAAAGGAATTTCACGGCTGGAGCAGTGTTGGACCGGCTGATATTTCTCAGCACTGACCTGATATGAACTTTTGTTCTGAGAAATTAGAGGAAACTACAGTATATGAAGCAAATTCCACTATAATTCTGTGATTAATTTCTGAGCCTGTTACTACATGTGTATTTGTATTGATACCAAAATCATACACAGATTACAGGAGAAGACAGACAGAAAATAAACTGTATTAAATGGTGCTTAATAATAATAAAAAGGTACAAAAGCCCAGCTGTCTTCAAAAGATAAAAAGCCATCTAAAAGATGAACATATTCAGACACAAAGCAGAGTGTGTTTATAGACACTGTACTGGAGGCCCAAGTGAAATGTATTTCCACCTGTCCAAAAAAAGTTTATGAGGATGATAAGAGACACTCTCTCTAAAACACCAGGTAAGAAAGCATTTGGAAGAAAGAAGGCTATTTTGCAGAAGGTGAAGTTAGGTCTAAATCAAGCAATAAAGAGGATTATAAATGTTGACAGCTAAAATATAAACACCAGGCTAGCCCAAAGGGATTGAGAAGTGATTTGAAGAAGACATGAAAATTAGTAAGCAACCATTTTTCTCAGGAAAACAGCATTGCTACAGAGGGCAAACAGATGATATTTAAAAGAAAAATAGAAGAATGAGCAGATAAAATAGAACACAGTAAGAAAGCTGAAGGATTTTTCTCGTATTTGGATTTATCAAGAAGACTGCCTGTGTGCTAAATTTTAATTTTTTTAAAGAATGTATTTGAGGAACTCTTTGAAATTAAAATATAAGTACAAATTCTTGTAGAATAAACTGACAGGTTGTACAGTGACTAATCATTATTTGCCTAAGGTCTTTAAAAACTCAGGGATAAAATACCCAAGCTGCTAACTCTATCAGGAACTCATCACTTAAATTGCTTTGATGGCAAACACGTAGCAATTTTTAATAGGTTTAGGGAAGATCCAAGAATGAGGAATGCCCTAAATAAAAAAATGTAGATTGATATGATAATTAAGAAAGAGCCTAAGTATCTTCTATAAAGGGAAGTCATGCTTTCCAAATATATTTCTCTGAAGGAGTCACTGAGCAAACAGACAAAGGAAAGTAAATGATATATTATATTTCCATGTTTAAAAGACACGTAATAAGGTCTCTTGATAACACCAAGGAGCTGAGCAGCTATACAATCACAAACCAGGCCATATCTGAGCATTCTACAGGTTCACAGGTCATGTGAACCTGTGTCCATCAGGAGCTGTTTCGGTGCTACAAGGCTGATATTCTTTAGTCAATAGTTTTAATGCCTTTTTGGCAATTCGGCTTATAGTGACTTGGCATTTATAATGTAAAATAAATAATCATAAAACTCCATGGAAATTCTCTCTTTAACAAGAATTATGGTTTTCCTTAGCACATCTCTGGCTTTACTGGCATCCCCAGCTCTGCACCAGTTTTCAATAATCCAAACCCAGATGTATGCAGTCACATCACTGCAAGCCACTCAAGAGTTTGGGAAAATGAAATAACATCCACAGCAAACAATAACACAAAACAGAAAATTACAAACCAACCAACGCAATAAAAGCAACTGGCTGAATGACAAAAACAGAAGATATTACAGGCAATGCATGCCAAAGACATAAAAGAATATAGCACTAATTAAATTAATCTACCCTGAAAAAATTATGGGATTGGACCTGATGATATGGATATTACTTTCCCAGGTAAAAGTAGCAGGATAAATTTTGGTGCATGGAAATATGATTTTGCCATACACCAAAAGAGTTCAGAAGGAAACCTGCTGGCTGAGGAGTATGTTAAGAATCAGCTGCAGGTTTATTTGCAAATAGAACTAGGATACTTTCAGCATAATCCTGTCAAAGTATCCCCATAAAGGATGCACAAACCATTCATTTTGATTAGGAGTCACTCTAGGAGGTGTTCAAGCAGTGTTGTCTCTGGCAGAACGTAGCCAAAGCAGCCAATTCCCCACCAAAAATTATGATACTGTCAGTTCAACACACTTCCATTGGCAACAGAAAAACTGGATCATAGTTGGACTAGCTGCTCTTCAAAATCAGCAGGTTTGAATAGTTCAGTCTTTGTTTCAAAGCCAAAAAAGCAGTCAGGGATTTTCTCTTTCCATTTAGCATTCTTAAAATGCATTTTTTTACCACTGCCAAACTATAGATTTTAACATTCTGAAATTAAAATTCCCTCTTTCTGGAGCAGCTCATTTTTGCACTGCTTCATTTAAGGATTTTATTAATCTAAACCAAAACAACCCTGGTTTTAAAATTTTTATAAAGCTAACTCAAGCTTTTTAACATATTAGATAAACGTTACTTTCTCCTTTATTAGTGAATACAGAAGAGAGAATTATATTTCCAGTCCTTTATGCTACTTCTTGTAGCATGGAAATACAGAATCAAAAATTTATATAAGCACACATTATATATATATATATATATATATTTCCAGTGGAAAAACTCATTGACCATAATGCAGAATGAATAAAGATTTTATATGCTTTAATGACAACCAACATATTCTTTATATCTCTGATTTAAACCAGAACATCAGCCCAAAAATGAAAGGGTAAGAAGAACACTGAAATCTTGCTGAATAGTCTGGTTGATCTCTCTGCTTTAAGAAGTGAGCAACTCTGCCTAACCTATTCCTGATAGAGGCAACCATAACTTTTTCCTAAAATTCTCCTACACTGGCAGCACTTCAACATCCTCAAACTGGTAGTAAAAAAACCCAACTGTTCCTCATGTTTAATATGGATATTTTGGGGTTCAGTGTAAACCTACTACACTCCTTATCTCTTACTTAGTATAAACCCCCCCCCAGATATTTCCCTTCCACGTTTGTAACCACTGAGGGGAAAGAAGGAAT